CAGGCTTGCTCCTCCAGCCTCGCGGCTCATTCTCTTCTACAGCCGAGCAGCCGCTGGAGGCAACGAGTCGATGCAGCCGTCAAAGAATAGCTGCTTTTGCCGAATGGTGAGGATGAGAGCTGAGAAGATGGCCGCTGATGCTCCTGAGCACACGCATTGTCACCGAAGTACATGATAAGTCTGACACAGAAACTTGAAAACGCTTGAAAGCCATGTTTGGGATTCTCCGTCCATGCGGTGACAGGCTTCGATTGCACAGCACCAGGAACAGTGCACTGGGAATCTGCAGATTGTCACCATTTCTTCCAACGTACACATTCGTCATGATGAACTCCTCCACCCGCAACGATCAACGCAAACAAACGAAGGAATCTCTTCAAATCTGGCCGGGCTCAAGGCGCAACAGCAGTGCTGCTCGATTTTCTTATGCAGAGGAAGGGTTTCACAAACGGGAGATGTTGCAGGCGAACTTCAGGACCAGGCATCTGAACGCAACGGGACCGACCACACATGGCTGAGACTGAAGACAGGGCTTCCAAAGGCCCGCACGTCCGTTGAATGGTCTCTTGCCATGCCTCATCGAAATAAACCCCAAACCTGCATCCCAATCAGTCCTGTGCGATCCCCCACAGGATCATGCAAGTGTTCAGGGCCTCGGCTGCTGTCCCGGGCCCTTGCTCGCTTCAGACCCCGCACATGACTCTCAAATGTCAAAGACGAATTTGCTGCCTCTATCACTCTTCTGACTGCATGAGCTTTACCACCAATATCGCAGTCAATATCACTGAGATGGGTCTGACGATGTGACAGGAATTCTTTCAACAGGGCCAGGCCGACTCACAAGGATTCTACACAGCAGAGCCTCCACTTGGCAGCATCTAATTTGTCCAACTTGTAGGGGGCTTGACCGTGAGCGGAAAGCCAGAAGAAAAGCAAGAGCGACGGTGATAGCCGGAAGCAGTTCTCCAAGGCGCCAGGAAGCAGAAGCAAAGCCTCTTCAAGTTCGCTGGCGAGTAGAACATCTCCATTTCGGCAGCTTCTGCCTGCACAGAGTTGCGCGGCCAGCGCAGCTTTCTGCTTTCTCACTGGCGCCCGCGAAGCTGAGAGCAAAGCACAAAAAGTTCCTGATCAGAAGGCTTTTTGACACGCATCGGTGCAGAGGCCAGTGCAGGCCAGCACTGCTTCGCAAAAGTTGACAAAGCACAACCAGCCATGAAGGCATCGTGAAGCTTGTCAGATCAACCCGAGACGCCTTCAAGATTCCTAGGCACTCAAAATGAAGACAGCAGAGTCCTGAAAGCACAACACGTGTAGCCTCAGCTCGTGCAGCTGCGGAGTCATCGGAGGGAGTCGAAGGTTTCATGCCTCGGCCGAATCTGTGCAAGTGCTCGGTCAGTAGTACTAGTACTAGTAGTAGTGTAGTAGTAGTAGTAGTAGTAGTAGTAGTAGTAGTAGTAGTAGTAGTAGTAGTAGTAGTAGTAGTAGTAGTAGTAGTAGTAGTAGTAGTAGTAGTAGTAGTAGTAGTAATAGTAAGAGTAGTAGTAGTAGTAGTAGTAGTAGTAGTAGTAGTAGTAATAGTAAGAGTAGTAGTAGTAGTAGTAGTAGTAGTAGTAGTAGTTGTTGTTGTTGTTGTTGTAGTAGTTGCCAACGGACTGCGATGCCTAGTCAAGTTCTATGGTGTCACGACAAGAGCTATGAGTGTGGCCTTGTATAGGTTAAGAGTGGAGGCACGCTGCGCGTACTCCATCTCTAGGTGTAGGCATGTGGGCATGCTACGCATACCACAGAGCCGAACCACTTTACGCAACAACAACCAAAAAAAAGAACTTCAAGGACCGAACGCAACATTAAACGCGAGTCAGTGAAAATGTGTTTACGGATAGCTCATGCGATTCTACATGCATGCGTGCGAATGTATGTGAATGTACGCAAGGGCAAGAAAACAGGCACACGTGTGTGTGTGTGTGTGTTCGCATGTCTGTACGTATGTATGGCCAAATGTGTGTATGTATACATGCCTGTATGTGTCGGCATGTGTCGTGTTTGTGTGCGAACTTTGGATGGCTATATATGTGCTATGTATGTGAATGTATGTGTATGCATATGTATGTATGTGTATGTTTGTGTATGCGTGTGTATGTATGTGTACACACTTGTATGTGTGTGAGTGTGTGTGTATGTATATGTGTAGGTGTATGTATATATGTATGTGTGTATGTGAGAATGTGTGTATGCGTATATGTACGTGTATGTGCATTGTATGAATATACATACGCATAGGCACGTACGAATGCAGATGTGGAGTCTGCATTTGCATTAATAGTTGTGTGCAAGTGCATGTTCGGTCCTACCTGTGTATAGAACAACAGTCCATACAGATTATGATGGTGAAACGAGGCAGCCACTGCTTGTCGAGAAGCCCTTCTCCCTCGTTTCTTTGGAGGCCTGGCTTTCTATAGCAGTCTCGGCTGTGTCCGCTGGTGCAGGACGTTCTTGAACTTCCATCCTGCAGGTCGTGTGCACCCTGAGAAGGGGCAGTCAAGTGCATGAGACTGTGCAACTAAAAGAGAAAAGCAGCAGTCAGTGCTTCGGAAGTACAAGCCGACGCGCATTCTCTTTCAATGAGTTTGCAGTTGGTGTGTCAAGTCAAAAAGCACACCTTCGGCGGGAGTCCTGATCACCACGACGGTCACTAAGATAATCAGCCCGGCCATCATCCACCAGAAGGGCTGCTCTGAAAGCATCGGCACATGCTCAACACGGTGCCTCCTGACCTGCAGCAGGTCGACTGGGATTCCATCTTCCTGTCTGTCGTTATATTAGCCTGATAGCTAGACTGGCAGGTGGGATAAACTCTTGAGCCGGCATGGCAATTCTAAGGTCGGCACACCATTTTTCAAGGTAGGCTTTGCTGACCTTCGTTCTCAAGCCATGACTACATCGTCAGTTCGGCCGTGTCAAACCATTGACAAAAGGTGCTAATGACGCGTTGAATGCATGGCTCTGCGCTTATTCCCCAACAGCGGATACGCTCTGGGTCTCCAATCTTAAAGCAAAGCACGGTGACCGAGTTTCGGATTACCGGCTCCCCAAAGCGCAAGGGACGTGTGCGCATGGGTGACTGTAGAAACTGGAACTGGCGTCCGCTATTGAAGTCATCTATCTCGGGTGCCCCGGCGAGATCTCAACAGTCTTCTTGCACGAACATGTCTCTTTACTCACGGAGTGAGATCAGATCCAAGTGTGCTCGCGGCGTGACAACCGAGCAGCAGTAGTCTGCTCTCACTTGCTACCTCTGTTGAGTCCGTTTGCATTAAACGGAGAGAGATCCAAGTGTGCTCGCGGAGCCAGAACATAGCAATCTTTTCACGTGAACCTGTCTCTCCGTGTTCGGGGAGAGATCCAGGCGTGCTCGCGGGGTGAGAACGCAGCACAAACCTTTTTGTAAGAACACGTCTCTTCGCGCACGGAGAGAGATCCAAGTGTGCTCGCGGCGTGAGAACGCAACAGTCGTTTTGCATGCGCATTTTTCATTTTCTTTACACACGCAAAGAGATCCAAGTGTGCTCGTGGCGTGAAAATGCAGCAGTCTGTGCGCCCGAACATGTCCGTTTGCGCAGAAATTTGATACATGCAAGCGTGCTCGCAGCACGAGAACTCAACATTCTTTGTTGTATGAAGATGTCTCGTTGCGCAGATCGAAATCCAAGTGTCCGCCCGCGATAACGCAGCATTTTCACTAATGAGCTACATGTCGATATGTCTATATGCGCCACGTGCAGGACATAATTATTCACATGTCTCTGGCAGAAGGAGCAATGTTTGTGAACATGTCTGCGCACACGGCGACAAATCTAAGCGTGCGTGCTCTGGTGAAGATGTATGTTCCATGTGTCGTTGAACTGTGAACACGACAGTCTGTCGAATTCCCGCTGTCTTTGCGCACGGAGAAAGACGTGCGCGCACTGCCGCAGCAAGGGCAATATCTCCGACTCGTTGTCGTTGCCGGGTACCGTGTCACATACATATGTTTCTTTGGGCACGCAGGTCGAGACGCGGTCACGCATGTGCTTGTTGGCACGAGCTGCTTGTGTGTGTGTGTGTGTCCACCCCTGTTTCGAAGGGTAGGCAAATCTGAGTCGAATGAGCAGGGGGCCCGGAGAGCCCGAGTGAGGTCCGGGCCAACGAAGACCCTCACTCGGTGCTCGTGTAAACATACCTGCAAATCAGTAACCCTAGAGCGCTTCAGATCACAGGTTCTGACTTCTCCTGACAGCTTTCGGCAATATGCACTGACTTATCAGACCTGCGACACGATGTGTCAAGTGTGCTTCACAACGGCATTCCCTATGGGCGCCGTGTCTCCCAGAGGTAGCTCTCGCGCTGACTTTCCCGATTGACTGTATAAGCATTGGATGACTTTCCCTGATTCTATATCCGTGCTTGCAAGCTGACTTTCTCAGTGAGTCTTTCCCAAATGCCTTTGCCGAAACCTGAATGCTGACTTTCCCACTGATTTTCTATGATCTGATTGACTTTCCCGAACCTGACTTCACCGCTGACTTGTCGCAGGTCTTCGGCTGCAAGTTGAGTACATGAGCTGTACTTTTGGTAGTTGCTGATCAATTTGCCACGCGCTTTCAGTCATCTGTTTTGCAATGAGCCTGGAGACCCGTAACCTAGAGTGACGGTTTGTATGCTTTCAGTCATCTGTCTTGCGATGCGCTGTACATGCGATAAACTTTGCAGGGCCAGTGCAAGTGAGTGCGTGTCGTCGTGCAAGTATTGTGCAAGTGTCAGTTTAGCAAACGTTTTTCTTCTGTGGTGAATGCGTGCATGCCTACATGCGTTCGGAGTGCGCATCTCGCTGCTTTACTGCATTGCAAGTGTCGTGCTGGTGGAGCGAGCTGTGGTTTCTGGTGGCCCGGTGGAGCATTGGAGCTGCTGGTGGTGGAGCTTTGGTTCCTGGTGGTCTGGTGGCGATCTGGACAAGTGAGTGCGCATTGTCATGCAAGTGCTGGGCAAGTGGTTGCATTGTCATGCATGTGTTATGTTCGTGAGTGCCTCCTGTCAGTAAGTTCGAAAGAGCATGTGTATGTCAACCGGTGTTTCGAACGGATGCAATGAGCCCGGGAGGGCTTGTGTGTGTCCACCCCTGTTTCGAAGGGTAGGCAAATCTGAGTCGAATGAGCAGGGGGCCCGGAGAGCCCGAGTGAGGTCCGGGCCAACGAAGACCCTCACTCGGTGCTCGTGTAAACGTACCTGCAAATCAGTAACCCTAGAGCGCTTCAGATCACAGGTTCTGACTTCTCCTGACAGCCTTCGGCAATATGCACTGACTTATCAGACCTGCGACACGATGTGTCAAGTGTGTGTGTGTGTGTGTGTCGGAAGCGATCGTGCCACGCGTCGCGGACACATGGAGTGCGAACGCGGCAGTCCACTAATAATTATCACCTAGCGCACGGCTAGGACTGGTTTGCTCGCGCTGCCCTGATGCAAGATTTAGCCATAGTTGGCCTTTGTTTAAGCACCCCCCCTTGCGTAGCTGTGCATGCATGCCCCGCGGATGCAAGGAGCGCGAACGCAGCAGTCCAGGAAGATACCTTTGCACACTGCGGGGATTGCACGTGTGTTCGCGCAGCAGGCAGTTTCCCTTATGCATGATTTTGCAACGTTTGGCCTTGATCTAAGCACCTGCCCCTTCCGTAGACGTGCGTGACGTGCGCGACGTGCGTCGCGATCAAAGAATATATGGTTGCGCCTCGACGGGCCCGCCCCCCCCCCACCCCTGCCCCCCGCATGGTATCTTGCGTGCGGAATAGTTGGTTGGGCGGTTTGGTTTAAACCTTCTTCCAATGACAGGTCCGTGTATATCTGGGGGGATACCATTCGGGGCCGGGGCGCAGAACGCACAGCGCATATGTGCGAAGTGTGCTCGCGCGGCAAGCCGAGGAGTTGAAGGGATTCTGGCTTCTGGCTTGACCCACACGAACCCCAATTCAGGGGCCAATTGTGTGCTATTCCATCGGTGTCGGGGTCTGTTGCTGAGATATAGTTCTACCCTGTTTAAGACTCAGCTTCAAAATGCCTGAAACACTCGGCTGTCCTCGTGTGCACCCCTCCCGGCACGAAGTTGTGCTGGGCGCCAGACGGCTCTTTGCCGCTGTCTTGTCGGTCTGTGGAATTTGATCTTAACCTGACGGATTCAACCGGCACATGCTGCAAGCCTGCTACGTTCTCGGGATCACAAGTCTTTGCCCTGCTTTTGCTGCCATGGCTCCGTTCATGCGTCACCTGTAGAAGGGTCATGCAACTGCCTGAGTCATCGCCTGCACCGGCCCATGATATGCTGAGAGACATGTTCGCAACTCAACCATACCGGGACCTGGTTCTTGAGCTGCGCAGCATGCCACCCAAGCAAGAATGGCCAAGAAGACCTCAGCCATCTTGCGGCGCATCTGCAAAAAAAAAGAAAACAAGCAATCAAAAACCTGGAGAGTGGACATACTTTAAACAGCAGTGGAAGTAAGGGGCGACTCAAGTGGTCTGCAAACCCTTTCTGCAGCACAGGCGAAACAGCTGGATAGTCAGGGTCGAAGAGACTTGACTAGCACTTGGCGAAAGCAGCCGCTTCTCAAGCAAGCTTCCCTAGACTTATACCCGTAACCCAACGCAGGCATGCGACCTTCATGGTTCGCTATCGAAGTCTATCTTTCGGTCCCTTAGTCTCAGGATGTCTTTGGAACATGCCCCTTCCATGCATGGACGAGACGTGACAACTGCAGCTGGCACCTGTAACTGGTTATGAATCAGCAACCCTACGGAAACCCTGCAAGTCATTGCCCATGTTTTCGCGGCGCAGAGCCTCTTGCAACCTGGCATCTGATGCACATCATGGAGAAATCGGCACAAATCTTGGGTGAATTTGAGCCGAACTGCAGCAGCGGAAGCTGATCCCTTCTTTGCAGACCACAGGCATGAGAAGCTCTGGATCAGGCAAAACTTTGCACGTTTTTGCTCCTCTTGAGCCTTCACGCCACATCTCGCGGTTGTGCCGCCCAGCGTGGAAAAAACTCCTGCTCCGAGCACGTCCTCGAAACAAGCTTGTGCTGTGCTAAAGCTGCGTTCTCAGAGCAGTGGAGGACCGGCAAGTCGAGCGCTCAAGCGCATCCGCTCCGCAGCCGGCTCCATCACCTCACGGTGATGTGGTCGTAACCCGGAGATCGTTTTCGGAGGAATCTCTGCCGAGGCACTGCGTTTGTTGCACCATGGCTTTGACCACGAACCAGAAGGCACCAAAGAACAGGGCCACGTTCCTTGGTTCTCTCTGCCAATCTACCTGGGGAGACAGTAAACCATGGCAAATTCGTCGTCTGCGGTATGCAGCCGGGTCTCAGAATGGTCACCAGAAGGTACTCCTCAGCTTGGCATGCATGGTCGCAGCCGCATGGTACAACCCACAGACATATAGACGCATGGAAGAGCTGCCGGGAGGCAGTGCAAGCATCACTTGTTCTGGAGACACCGTCCTCGGTAATGTTCACCTGGACATGGCAGAACGGTAACAGAGACAACAAAGCATGTTCAAGCTAAGCGATACTGGGTAGGGTCTGTCGAAAGCATTCTGTTGCCTAAGCATCTCCCGGCCAAGAGCAGCCAATGGAGTTTCACTACATGCTCATCAAGGGTTGGGTCATGGAATTGTCGCGGTCAAAAGCATCTGCCGCAGCAACCAGCCTCCCAGTTCAGCCAGCATGCCGGGTTATCATCATCGAAAGCAAATGCACCTCGCTTCTTGAGCTGAGGATCCATGCGCGATCTCGTGAAGCTCGAAGAAATTCAATGAATGAGGGGGGAGGGGGGTGGCTTTCAGGCCCCCACGCCCCTGATTTGACCCCCAAGCCGCGAAAGACCCGGGCCTGCAGCCTGCCGTCTGCCAGTGGTGAAGCATTAAGAGTAAAGGCGCCTTGAGAGACCAGGAGCACCAGTGAAGCTCGCAAAGGAAGATGAGTGGCCGCCCATCCCATGCTCAAACGAGAAACATCTCTCGGCACAGGTCTCACGAACAGATATGCACTTGGAGGCTAAACAAAGGCCACTGGCCAAGGTGTTAGAACCAAAGATGCTGATACTTTTCCACCATCCTCAGAGCCGGTCTGGTTTCGGCAAAGTGCAAGTTGGAGTTTGACTGGCGGCACGGGCTGCGATCTCATGCCGAAGCCTGGCTGTCATTTTCTGCACTCCTGCCGGTATCGACATCCGCGTTTCCTCCATCAGCGCAAAGGCCTGAGGTCCGACAGAGCCATAGCAACAAGCTTTTTGAAAGGAGAAGATTCACGCTGTGCTGAATGCAGCCAAAGCTCGAGCATGGCGGGCCTGCGACTTCGCTGACTTGATGAATGACCAGCCCAGCTTCAGCACGGTGGAAGTCTATGACTTGAAAACCTGCATTTCACTCTACAGGGCTTTGGACTCTACATCCCTGACGCTCCATCGAGAGAGGATATGGCAGGATGCTGGTCCGCTGACTTGTCTGGTTTCATCATGACCAATCTAGTTTGTTCATACAGGCAGGGCGGCATCCTGCCTGGACACCTCTCTGCACAATGGTGATGCGGTCGCCCAGGGACAAAGCGATGCCCTGCGTTCTGGAGCGAATGCGGCAGCTGCCTGGCAGACAACACACTTTCACTCTGACATGGTGGTGTCGTGCTGTGCGCCGAGCCTGTCAGCTTGCCGTCTGGAAGCTTCTCGATGGAGATGTTCGCGAGCGCATCCTCAACTTCACTTTGTGTCTATGGTGCCCCGTCGACTGGAGCTCTGTTCGTACAGGCTCAGATAGCCACTTTGTGCACGACTACCCATGGTTCCGCCGACCCTGCCTCGCCAAAGATGGACTTGGCATAGAGGTTGACTGCGACGAAGCTAGAGGTGTCAATGAGTTTCTTGATCCTGGGTGAAGCTGAAGAGTCATGGAGAACCCCGAAGCACTGATACTCTGTAGCCAGTGGTAGTCTCTGAAAGAGCATGGCACGACCAGCACAAGCTTAGAGCTCACCAAGCGTCCCCACAGCATCTCGCAGCATCTCTTGGACATCTTCAGCTGTAAGCTTGCCCTTCTTCTGAGTCTTACTGTCACCTTGGCCAGACTTAGCCGCTAAGACATATGAAAGAGGTCGAGGACTGGAACCCCTTGTCCCTTGCCACAAGAATCCACACGGCTTCGGCCTAAGCTCTCGGCCACCCTTCTTGTAGCTTCTACCGACGATAGACATGTTGGTGTTTCTCATGATGTGTTCCAGGAACGTCCCCACCTGCAGACTGTGACAACTTGGCAAGACTCGCACTGAGGAAGGTCAAGGCAACCGACGAAGCTCCAGCGCCTCTGTTATGGAGGTGTTGATGTTCACCTTGTTCTCCCACTCAAACTCCGACCACATGGTCCGGAAGGCTAGCTCGTTGATCCAGGATCCTCCCATCGGCTCAGCGGCTTTCGGTTTGGTGCACTTGCCGCATATTTGGGAGCCGCGGTGCGTTCTATGTAGTCCAGGATATCCACGTGCAGCTCGTTCAGGACCTGAAGACGAAACAAGCCGGCGCACACACACACACACACAGAGACTGCGGCCCACACACAGAGACTGTGGTACAAGGAATGTATGTGTGCCAGAGCATGCGTGCGCACATGGCACGTTGTTGTGTATGCATGTATGCTGTGTGTGTTTGCATGCTTCCTGAGCTCGTGTACTCATGATCGGCTTCTCTACCTGTCCATGATAAACAATGTGAATGACCTATGTCTCTGCGTCTGTATGCTATGCGTTTCCAACTATCTAACAGTCTCTTTCTATCCATCTATCTACGTATCTATTTAGCTATCTAGCAATGCTAGCTATCTAGCTGCTACCATCTGCTTTTCACACGAACATACGTACGGATATACAGTTACAGGAACCGTTGCAGTGACAGTTTACGGTTGCAGCTACATACATACATGCATAATTACATACATACGCACACATACATACCGACCTGCCCCCCTACCTACCTTCGCACGTACAAGTGTACGTGTTTCCGTTCATGCACGCATGAAAGCATGCACTCATGCGAACTCATATAGCTAGCAGGCCGCGTATTGGAGAATCTAGGCCCGGAGCAGAGCATTCCTTGTCTGCCTCGCAATCAAAACACATGTTCCAGGAGTGTGAACTTCGACAAAACCATACTCACAGTGAAGCTGCACGGCTTTGCCAAAACTCACCGAGGTACTGCACTCTTCTTTTCGAACGTGACGTAGCCAAAAATAATGCCAGTCTCCGTTGACGCTACCTGCACAATCTCACGATGCAAACAGTTGCTTTGCAGAGACGTCAGTTGCGCCTTGATAGAGGCGTGGAGCGTCATTTGTTGACCTGCAGCAAGACAATCATGACACGCAAGGCGTGTGGCACATGCTGTACACGTCTTACCGCCCTGCCTGCTGCAAGTGTTACTGCAGACGGTCTGTCCACAATCTTCAAGTCTCCCTGCAGATGCAGTGGTCCGAAAAGAAGCATGATGCACTGCATCAAAGTTTCTGGCGGAGCTCAGCGTAGCTTTGCAACTGTGCACGGACGGCGACGAGAAACTAAATCTCATCTGTGGGCGTCACGAACAATATGCCTACTACGTGAATCCTTTCCAGGCCAGGTGTGCGAGGTGCCGCGCCGTGGCCTGTGTGCTCAACTCGATGAGAACGTTTTGCAGCGTCTCGCTGGTTCTGTTCACTACGAGGAGCTCGAGCATAAGGTCGAAGGAGTGCACCTGCGAAAATCAAACATGGGATGCGGTCGAATGCTCGCTGCGCTCCCGATACGAAAGACGGATGGTGCATTATCTTCCACAGGAAAAGACAGAAGCGCAGCCCGGGCCTGTAGGAAAGCCTCCACATACACAGGGTCAGCAAGGCCTGTCATCTGCTGCACCTGTCGCGCTGCCGTGTGGGCAAGATGAGTCTGCTCGGGCAGGGGGTAAGGAAATGCCATCCGAGGTGACGGTGCTGCAAGGGTGCAATGACACGCATTGATGAAATATCGCATCGTCGCAGCAGTAACATTTTTGCCAGTCTCCACTTCATTCTCGTAAGCGCACCGTAGTTATCCGTAGTTTGGGAGAGGACTTCCGAAACTGGTACAGAATTTGCATCAAAGACTGTAGAAAGCCTTGGCCAAGCGCTCTGCAAACAGCGCACCATCGGCCGCTGCCTCGTGCGAATTGGGTTGCCGGTCGCTTCCACTAGAAGGCTGTCACTAAATGAATTCCGATGGCTCCGGCCTGCGCCAGGAAGGCACCACGAGCGGCACTGAAGTCCTCATCATCGTCCATGGCACCTGTCAGCAACTGCCACAGCGTTCTCCACAGTCGTTATAGAGATGAAAGATGAGATCTGCCGTTGCTAAACGAAGCTCTCTGTGCCCTTTCCTGCCTGTTGGTCCAATTCCACCCTTTCTTTCACGAAGCTGCCGAAACATGACGCACTCGTCTGGCCCAACGCTCTTCTCCTGTCTGGGCTTCGGATGCCGAGGCCAGTGCTCAGGCTGCGGTTCACATCTCTACGGGCGCTCGCACGATGCCACTGCCTGCACCTCCTCCTCCTGGCCGAGAGCCCACTCCGAGTTTTGAGCTGCAAGCTCCAGCACCTGCAAAGATGAGTCTGGTGCTCCACCTGCTGCAGCCTGCAGCTTGAAACGTGATAGATTCCGGGCCTTTGCCAGCTGGTCTCGTCCATGATTGGACGTCCAGTCGCCTTGTACTAGCTGTGCAGCTGCACGCTGCGAGTCCGAGAGCTGCGAGTTGCCTCAGGGCTAACCGCTGCGTTCCCGGCAGCTCTCTCAGATGCGAACTCCAAGCCCCGCTCCGAGCACCGCAAACGCTCGGATGCATTGACTGAGTCGAACAGCACTGTCGCACTTCTCGCCACCTGCACAGCAAAGCGCATGAGCTCGGCTAGGCCTGTTGGTTTAGAGATGACGAAAGGTTTGGACGGCATCATACGGCATCGAGTGGTTCGCAAAACTCACAAGCTACGACACATTGCGCTCATGCGGGCCAGACACCACAAGCATGCTGCTTCACGAGCTTGAAAAGGTTCGCAATGACCAACAGCACCTTGACAGCTGGTTGATACACCCTTTGCCCAACCACAGTGTAGCACTGGAATGGGGTTGTGCCCTTCGCAAATAGGGAAAACCCCACAGCATGATTGTGGTAGGGCACCTCGTTGCGAACCCCGACAGGCAGCTTCTTCAGCTTCATGCACAGCTTTGTCATCGACACCTGTGCTTCATTGCAAAACTGTTAGACCATGCTCCAAATGTCGAAGCAGCGGATTCCTGGAAGGGGGAAATCGGGAGCTTGCCCAGCTTGCTTGGTTTATGCGTTTAAGCGTATGGTAGCTTGAGGCTCCCGGTGATGTCGTTAAGCCGACGGACCGTCCGCATGTTCGCATGCCGCCCTTTTCTTGGGAAGTCGAGCGACACCTACCATGGCGGAGAGGAGGAAGTCGCCACCTCAATGAATCTCAGGCGCTCGGAGTCGAGGGAGTTAACAGGGTTTTGAGGCAGAGACCAAGCAGCAATGTCCGGAAGGCCGTCTTCTTGGACTCAGTCTTCGCTTTCTCCTCAGGAGCCTCTTCCTCTTCTCCTCATCCATCGCAGATTACAATGATGATAAATCACACCCGCCCCTGTGCTGGAGCCCCTCGCCGACCTCCCCTCACTGCTTCCCTTATACTTTTACAAAACTCTTCGTCCACGTGTGAAAAGGGATTACAATCTTTGAACGCGGCTGCCAGCAATCAACACTGGGTTACCATCTCCTTCGCCTCCTTCGTAGACATTCTGAGTGCCTTTGGCCAGGGCTGCCAACACTCACAACAGCAGTGTCCAAAGCTCTCTCAGGCTGCAGCCGTACGTGCCATCCGCCAACACTACTGTTTTGGTGGTGATTTTCGGCGGCTTCTTCTCCTGCTGCTGAATCATTGTGCTGCAGCCATGTTGGTCGAAACGACTGTTTCTTCGCAGTAGGCATGTGCTATATCAGAGTCGTGCGAGTCCTGCTGTTTCTTCTCGCTGTTGCTGGAGTCCTTCTTGTCTTTCGATGAATCTTCCAGGACAAGGGGCAGCGGCCTCGCAAATGCAGCATGTCGCGAATTTCGCGACAACATTGCTTGCAGTCTGTGTGTGCGGGTCTTCGCATGAGTAGGAGCTTCGGTTGCCGCCTAAAGTCTAGCTAGCACACATGGCGTGTGAGGATGCGCCTGACCGCCGCAAGCACACCCTGGATGACATTCTCAATAAGGGCTTCATCTTCGCAGTACTCGCCGAACAGCCAGAGACAACCTCGCAGGACCTCAAGCGGAAGCTCAAAGAACAATATCTGTAGGACAAGAGGACATCAAAAAGGCCGCAGCAGTGCTTCCGACAGGGGTCCTACTTCAGGCCCTCGCACGCGACTGCGAGACGTCGGCAATGCACTCGGCAAGGCGCTGCAGAATCGGCAGCCGCATTTCCTCGACACGTGGCAAGAACGGCAATGAGCCGGCCTTCGGCAACCGTATGACCGCAGGCATGCAAAGTCTGAGAGCCCGGCTGTGTAGTTCGCGATCAACTCACGAAGGAACATGACCTCAACGGGCAGTACGCTCTGATGGCTGCCGTGCAGGCATGACGACCATCACGATGCTTGAGGAGCTCCAGGGACGTTTACGAGGCAGCGGCTACTTCGGTGGCCGTCATCTGGTCAGACTCGGTCAAGAAGTCCTGGCTGACGGCAAGTAGCAAGTTCGCCGTCCAACTGTCCAACACCAGCGGCGCAGTCCATCAAAAGGAACATCACGCTCTGAGCTTGATCAGGGTATTGCCCTGCAAAGGCGCAATGCAGCACTTGGTCCAGCAGAGCCACTAGGCTTGGCCTTAACAAATGCGGGCTCCAGACCTGTGCATGCATGCAGTGCTCTGATGAGCAGCCGCCGGTACTCCAGGTTGCCTTCGGTGTTGGAGGCCTCTCACAAGAGAAGAGAGCAGGACGGGGCCCGCAACCGAACGGCAGCTGCGCCTCATAACCCAGCGTCTTGATCACCTCCTTTTTGAGGAGTGCGACAACATCCTGGCAGCTGTTTGCACTCGGTTTCCCTCGCAAGAAGCCCATCTGCAATCAGCTGCACGCCTTGATGTTCCGGGGAGTGACTAAGGACCCAAGGCAGATGTCCATCACCTCAGCCGCCGGCCAACACCGACACTCAGCGAAAAGAATCTACCGGCAAAACCATAGCAGCGATACATCCTGCAATGTCTGCTCACGATTCTTTCTGAAGAGCTCGCAGAGTTTGACCGCGGTTTCGGTCAGCAGAGTGCAGAGGATTGCACCCTCACGCGGCATTGCCGAGAGGAGGCACAAATAAATTGAAAAGCCCTAAGACTTTAAGACCTCATTCATGTCATTGACATCATGAGGCCAAGCTGATCTAGCTGCGGAGCTACCACGAAAGGACAGCACTCGCATCTTAGTCTTCAACATTTCTCGGGCTCATGCCTAATCAGCGACTGTTCACCAGAATGCAGCTAAAATTAGACGCTGTTGGAGTGCTGGTTGTGCTTCGACTGCTACAACCATGTGTGAGGAAGATATGAAGAGGTTGCAGGCCGCCAGATGGACAGAATGCGTAGACTAAGTCGATCTGGAATCCACTTCCTAGGGTCCTGCAATCTACGACTCGCCATGCCATCCTGGGATGATTGGCCCACTCCAACCGTTATGCACCCAGCTCGTAGTAGCAAGAGCCTAAAAGTAAACCACCTAGGAGACACTGCAGCCTGTACAAGTCTCCTTGACTCCCTCAGGCACGCGAAGCGGCGCCCATCGGCGCACCTCGAAGCGCAAAGCCGCACACAACGCACAACCAGACTTCCCAAGACTTCCTTCTCCTTCTTCGAGCTCGGCGTCCCCAAAACTTTAAGGTTCGGCGGCGCGCCTTCAGTGCAGTGCTGACTCCGGTGATGTCATCACCCAAGGGGTGCTGCGCCAAGCCGTCCTGGTGGACGCTTCGTGCACCTACACTGTCTAACACCTTGATATTCCAAGCTCTAGGACACGTGGGCCCAAAGAAGCAGCCAAGGCTCACGTTGCGCGGCCATAGCGACTTTAACCGCCACATTGTGGCTGACTTGCTGAATGCGAGAAGGATGTGGCAGCACAGACTCGGCCTGCAAAGAGCACTGAGCCGATGAGCTTAGAACTGGCGACGATTGACGAGGCATCGAAAGTGGACAGCCAACAGCAGCGAGAGAGCCTCCATGTCCTTGTCATCGAGGGACTGTGCCACGGTGATTGCCGCGACCATGAACCATTTGTCTGGAATCTTCTTCGCCTGGCGGGGATGACTTCAAAGTCAGTGCTGCGTGCAAAGTTGAGCACCCACCTCACACCAGTAGGCTCCAAAAGACATGCCCGGGAAGATGAAGAAGTTGTTCACTTGGCCGGGTATTCGCATCCTGTCGCTCCAAAGCCCAACCCCTACTTCGACGTGCATCTGCACACCGGTTACACTGTCTGTTGCAATCTCTGCTGCGCTTGCCACTGCTTTTGCCCCTAGTGTTGGCACTAGCCTTGCAATATCTTGCCATTGCCGCTCATGCTTCTGGTAGACTGGTATCAGCGTCACCAGTGGTTCGATTGGATGTTGTTGTTGCTGGTCTTGGTGGGTGCTGCTAATACTGACGCTGCTGATGCTGACTGTTCCTCCAGGGCTACTCTCGCCAGAACTGCACCCCCGACACGAAGTCTCCAAAGCGGAGCTGCTCAGCTTCCGACCTGCCCTTGAAATCCACTGGTGGAAAACGGGTGCCAGAGCCGAAAATTGCCTTAGACCGGATTCGGCAAAGGCTTCAACAATTCGGGATCTTGGAGAGTGACTGCAGAGAGGCTTCGACGACGGGTCGAATACTACTGGGCAGCGCTAAGACATAGACAGATAAACGGTTTTCACAGACCTTCGACTACATGATCACACTTCCTCGCAACGGATGTAACATCTGCTTGTGACGAAACAATGGCGGCACACGCGAGACAAGAAGTACCAGGCCGTGGAATTTATCTACGTCGAGCTTCCGCACAGCAGTCCGTGAGGTAGTTAGTTTCGCAGTGCTTGTCGGTTCGGTTCTTGGCTTCATCTCGCTTGGCTCTTCGTCCCGGTCTCGGGTTGTTCTTGGACCGTACGGCACCGGATCGATGACTCACATGGGTAGTTGTCAAAATTATGGTCCCTTTTTGGGCCCCTAACATAGTACGGCACCTAATATTTGGGGTACCCAAGAAGGGACCATAACTTTGACAACCACCCACACGACTCATGCGATGACTTACATAACTCGGGCCGGTTGGATGCCGCAAGAAGCCGTAAGCCGCTGTCTGCACAGCTTGTGCTGGCATTCCAATTTCAGCTGTACTGCTGCGGGTGCGGCGCCAAACCTCGTGAACAAGACCTGCTAATTTCAACACAGGCACTTGACCGTCGGAGAACTTGTAGCAATCCACTGCTGTGAGCTCTGCTTGGGTCATGGGGTTAGAGAGAGCGAAAATGATGGGCCGTCCTCCGCCTTAGTCTCAGAGGATCCAACAAGTATGGCCATGCAAGCACTGGCTCAATCTGAAGAATCGATCCAGCGGAGTGTCCTCCAGGCTTGTTCTTTTGAACTTCCAGCATGGCTTCGACGACTTCTTTGTTGAAGCAGTTGGGTGCCCGACCAACTGCCTGAGCAAGACAGCCCAACAACACCGTTCCTTTCGCGCTCGTTTTCTGAATTAAATTAAAGCAAGATGCCCCAATGAGGACATCGGGCTTGTGATGCTTGATGACTTCAATGAGGTTCGTGAAATCGTAACCACTTGGCTCTCCTGATGCAGCGCAAAGCGAACTTCTCGAACAAGCGGCCAGTGCTATAGCAACAAGCACATCAGCTCTGCATATACATCCTAATAGCAGTGCGGTTCTCACATGGGACATCTTTGGTTGATCAACGTTCGTACTGTCAAACTTATTCATATCAAGGGTTGTTGTGGTTGTTGTGGTTGCTGCGATTGTTGTAGTTGTGAGTGTTGCGGTTGTTGTGGCTGTTGTGACTGTTGTGGTTGTCGTGGTTGGTGTGTGTGTGTGTGTTGTAGTTGTTGTGGTTGTTGTTGCTGCTGCCTTCTGCTGCTGGTGTTGTCGTCGCCGTCGTTACTCTTGCTGTTGTGGTTGTTGTCGGTGGTGGTGATGGTGGTGATGGTGGTGATGGTGGTGATGGTGGTGGTGGTGATGGTGGTGATGGTGGTGATGGTGGTGATGGTGGTGGTGGTGATGGTGGTGGTGGTGGTGATGGTGGTGATGGTGGTGATGGTGGTGGTGGTGATGGTGGTGATGGTGGTGATGGTGGTGATGGTGGTGATGGTGGTGATGGTGTCGTTGTTGTTGTTCTTACTGTTATTAGTGTGATTATTGGTGTACGTCTCCTTGGTCTCGTTATTGTTATTCGTGTTGGTTTTGTTGGTTGTTTAATCGTTGTTGTTCTTGTTGATATGATTGGTGTTGGTATTGGTGTTGTGCTTGTTGTTGTTCCTGTTGTCGTGTTTGTTGTTGTTCATGTTCCGCTATTGTTACTGGTATTGTTGGTGTTACTGTTATTGTTCTTGTTGCTGTTTGTGTTATTTTCCCGTTGTGTTTCTTGGAGTTGGTACCGTTGTTGCTCATGTTGTTGTTCCTGTTGTTGCTCTTATTGTTGTGGTTGGTGTTCTTGCTCTTGTTATGGTTCTTGGTATTGTCCTTCTTATTGTTCTTGTTCTTGTTATCGTTCTTGTTCTCGTCCTTGTTCTTGTTAGTGCTCGTGTTGCTGTTTGTGTTGCTGCTTGTGCTGGTGTTGTTGTTGTTGTTGTTGGTGGTGGTGGTGGTGGTGGTGGTGGTGGTGGTGGTGGTGGTGGTGGTGGTGGTGGTGTTTTTGTTATTGTTGTTATTGCTATGTGTATTGTTGCTGTCATTGTTCCTGTTGTTGTCATCGATGGTGTTCTTGTTGTTGTCTTGTTGCTGTTCGAAGTTGTTCTTGTTGTTGTAGATGCTTGCTGCAATGTTGTCGCCACGGTTGTCAGTTGTTCTGGTAGTTGTTGTTGTTGTTGTTTCGCTTGCTACTGAACTAGGGGCAGTACTACTGTTGTTACATCTTCTGAATTTGTCCTGCCGTTCTGCACCTAATCAGCTGTGTTTTGCTGAGTTCCAGTAGATGAGTGTACCTTTGTATGTAAACGTTGTTCGTACAACTGAGTGTACATAATTTCCAGCCGATTTATGTCACAGTAATGTTGTAAACTGCACATGGTACTATCTTTCCCCTGCAAATGTGTATAGCTTTACGCTGCGCCACGCAACCAATGCTGCAGACTAACCTTGACTGTTCGTTGTGCGTAATGCACAGTGCAGCCATATGCTTCAGCATGCATTACCGTTCTGTGATATTACTGGTCCAAAACCGAATCAATGCCGTTCCATGCACTTCTAAGTTCCAGAATTCTAGTGTTAAATTGCTACATCCGGCTCTCTGAAGCTATATTCTGCTGTATAGTATAGTAAGATAGATCGTAGACTCGTATATAACCACAAACTAAATGTGTATTGATCAAGCTGAATGGCTTGAACTTATGGAAACTTAAAACTTACAACAGAATTTCAGGGAAACCTTCCTATCCACGAGGGGTGTCAGAAAATGCATGACCCAAATATGGGGATCCGCATCTAACCTAATTTGAGAAATCCCACACCATACCAGACATCTACTTTCTTTGAGACTTGCTCGCAACGCCGGCGCCACTCTGCGCACACAGCTTTACTCACACAGACATCTGATTCCCAAGGCCTGGTATGCGCTAACATATGTCTATGTCATTCTTTACATCATTACATATGCAGCAGGGTGTCTAACACAGGCGCAGGTTACATTCTGATATACAATCACAGAGCCTGCAAAAAGCGGAATACCGTGAATGAACATCGCACACCACTGTTTCGACTATCCGATGCTGACATGTGCCATGCTGTAGTATGTTGTGAGAGGCTCCTATATCTGTTCCCCGTAAGTACTTACAAGCAGTCGCACGAGTTCTGTGTGTCTGCCACGGGGCCGATGGCGGCGGCAGCCTTCTGCTCAAAGTTCTTGAAGTTTCCCTTCGCTCCATTCTCTGACTTCCAGATGACGCCTTTGGAGTTCCTTGCGGTCGGGGGCTTGGGCGCCATTGCTGGGTGGCGCGGAGCGGCTTCGACTTCGTCTGGTGGATTCTCTAGACTGTATCAAAAACTTTTGGGCGAACTTTTGGGCGCCTCTGTTCGCTTGTGTCTGTGGGCTTGAGGATTCTTTTGTCGCAGTGGGGCTGTCTATTTCATTCAAGCCCCACTAAACCCATGAAGAGGCTTGTGGCCAGGCCGCGTGCAGAGGATCGACTCTGCGGGCACTCCTGCTTCGCTCCGAAGCAACATCGCACCTTGGCAAAGGCTGCTTTCTGTTTCTGCTGCGGCGAGTTTCTTCGTGGTCGGTCTTCCTCGTAGTTTCTGAAAGCCTGAACCCTAAACCTGACAGCCTCAATTGAGCCCTGCTCAACAACTAGAAACATGCGCGCCAATGCTTCGTCAAAGGACTTCCCAAGTTCGCGGAGCCGGCTCCATGGAAAAGCACGCGTGTCTTTCTGAGCTCCTTGATCAGCTCCTTGCAACCTTGCGAGACTCTCTGGGAAACAGCCAGGACACGGCACTTGTAAGATACATAGGTCGAGGTAGAGGGATACAAAGACACCTACGAAGAAAAACACACACTCTCTCCCTCTCTATCTGTTTCTCTGTTTGATCTACCTACCTACCTACCCAAGTACCTACATACGTACCTAACTACTACGTATGTAGATAATCATATATATATATATATACACACACATTCACATTCACATACTTATATACATACACATATACGCGTACATATACCTATACATATACATATACACATGCTCTACATAAAAACATACACATACACATGCACATACACATACGCATACATATGCGTAAGCATTTACATACACAGACACATACATACATACATACATACATAAACATATGTATATATATATACATACACACACATACAGACAGACATACATAATCATATACCTGCACATAGGCACAGACAACACAAACTCACATGTATATGTATATACACATGAATGTGCATAGGCAAGGAGCAAAGGGAGAGCGAAAGAGACAGAGAAAGGGATGGAGAGAGAGAGAGAGAGAGAGCAAGAGGCAGGCGGAAAGGTCTGTGTTTGACTTTGCCCGGTGCTTTGTTCATGACCATTATGCATGTACGTGCGTCTCTTCTAAAACATACGTATACAGATTCATTTATGTTCTATGTATATACCTAGCAAGAGCATATACATATATGTGAGCAAACATGATAAGCATGTATGCATATGCATATATGTGTACCTATATACATATATATGTGTATATATATATATATATATCCGTCGAAAATAATACATCTTTCTAGCGGTTTACTGCCTGGCTATTGAACTGTCGTCCGGTGACTGGTATCTCTATGCGGCTCCCTGCTACGTGCCCCAAGTTGGGAGGCAAGGCCAGGGTACCTGGCTTCTGAAGCCGGATTCCACCCAGCACCGCCGCTACAACAACAGCCGCAGTGCCCTGGATGTCGTCATTGTAGCTCAGGAACTTGTGCCGGTACTCCTGAGGGGTGGACTGCACATGCTACAACAACTGCAGGAACATGCCGCAAGCAAGCAAAGGAAAGATCGTGCTGCGTTAAAGCTGTGTGAGAGCACGAAAGGAGGGAGAAAAAGCGAGGCAGAGAGAGAGAGAGAGAGATAGAGAATGAGGGGGAGTGAGACTGAGATGCATGAGTGTGGTTCGTGTGCGATAACACTTGTCAAAACTGCTCAAGGATGTCTGGCAATCACTTTCTGTACTGAAGATAAGACAGCTGAAATGAAGTGGGGATGCCGGATGACTGTCTTCAGTACTGAACCGGGCCTCCAGCAGCGGGAAGGCATCGTTTGTATTGAAGTCTTCGAACTGAAGCAAACACTTTCGGCTGAAGATGTCTGCTGCTGCAGCCATGAACTCGCCGATGAGGGAGCAAGGCCCGTAGTAAGCAGTATTCACTTCGGCACCTGGCAGCTAGTCCAACATTCAGGCAGGGGCAGATGTCAAAAAAGGAAGAGTCTACGCTTTGCACTAGGGCCCAGCCTTGTGCATCCTCGTGCTTCATTCGATCCTGCTTCAATCCTGCAAGCAAGACACGAGAGAGACAACATCCAAAAAGAGATTCTCATCTCACCAAGGAACCGAATCTTAGTTAGTCAGTCCTGTGTACAGCTCATGGTCTCGGATTGTAAGTTTGGCTGAATTGCCACTTGCGTCAGTGCATCCTGAATCGATAATGACCGGCACCGTCTTGTACGGGTTGAAGCCGGCACAGACTGTGTAGAGATCCAGCTTTCCAATCGGAATGCCCATCCCCCAACAGCCGAGGTCTCCCAAACCAAGGATGCGCCCTGCATCCGAGAAGACTATGCACTGGCACTCAAACTTGCCATTCTCATCCTTTGTGAGCATGGCTTCTGCGTATTCTAGCAGCACTTCCTTTACCTTGCCGCAGTCGCATATTGAGACATAGCAGCCGCGGGGGAAGAAGGGAAGCAGGCCAAACCTCAGGGTTCACTTCCAGTCCTTTCGCCTACTCCTGTGCATGAGGCAAGTATGTCGAGAGTTAGGCGCTGATTTCGGCAAGCGGCTTCTGGCACGCTTCACCAACTGTAGGTGTGTACACAATCGGCAGGAGAAAGGCCGGATCGTGCCACAGAGCTGCGTAGTACAGGTTGGGATCCTGTGGCCAAACATTGCAACAGACCGCCAGCTGCAATGAAACTTTACAAGTGAAGGGTGCGGCTTTTAAGTCCTCTGTCCATCCTCGAGTCTCGTGATCACTACCCGAAGTCCCCCATTTTAATCACAAGGCCCTGCACAGTAATCATCCAAGCTTTAAGAAAACACACCGTGGAATCCAGCTTCAAGAGGGCAGGAGCTCCAACCAACGGAGCCTCTCTGCCCTACCCACCTCCCCTAACCACATGCCTCAAACGAAGGACCAGGAAAGACCACATGTTGCCAAGCTGACACCCTGAAATCCTCAAAGTTCATGCTTGTGCAGGACTGGCTTTCGCTGCGAACGTGCGGTGGCCATGCCTTGTAGTGAAGCATCCGCAAGTACGCGTACGCATAGAGCAGGTGACCCAAAGTAAAGAAGCCGCGGACCTCTTGCATGACCTCGCTCACCGTCGAGGCCTGAGCAGCTCTGTTCCTGGCTGAACAACTAGTTTTGGAAAATCGCGCGACCTCACCTTGCAGGACGCATCCAGCGTCTTCAACATCTGCGCGAGCTGTGCCTGAGGTTCTAAACCGAACAATTGGTTTCCAAAGATGGACTGCTGCTGTTGTGTTTCCCGGCTCAGAGCTAAAGCTGTAGTTCGTAGATTCTCATCTTCCGGTGCCAAAAAAAGCCGGGAGTTTCGGACCTCGGGTCGAACAGCAAGTGGTGCGAGCTAGCAGCAGCAATAACTTGTAGTTGTACACGTACTAGCGGGAGTCGGAGTAGGAGCAGGAGCAATAGTCATAATAGCTGTAGTAGTGGTACTACTACTACTACTACTACTACTACTACTACTACTACTACTACTACTACTACTACTACTACTACTACTCCTACTCCTACTCCTACTCCTACTCCTACTCCTACTCTACTCCTACTCCTACTCCTACTGCTACTGCTACTGCTACTGCTACTGCTACTGCTACTGCCACTGCCACTGCCACTGACTGCTACTGCTACTGCTACTGCTACTGCTACTGCTACTGCTACTACTGCTATTACTACTACTACTACTACTACTACTACTACTACTACTACTACTACTACTACTCCTACTCCTACTCCTACTCCTACTCCTACTCCTACTCCTACTCCTACTCCTACTCCTACTCCTACTCCTACTCCTACTCCTACTGCTACTGCTACTGCTACTGCTACTGCTACTGCTACTGCTACCACCACCACCGCCACCACCACCACCACCACCACCAAAGCGTCTGGGCCCGAAACTTTTGTGAGTGCCCTGGTTTGGTGTGTGTGTGTTTTTGCCCCTCTGGGGTTGCCTCTCCTTGTCCCTCCTCGGGGCTCTTCGGGGTGTTCAGGGCTTTCTCTGCCATTTCGACCTCGGCCGTCCTGCGTACTGGCTCTGCGTGCTGCTGATCTGCTGCTTATGCTACCCTGGTCAGTGGCGGTGATATGCCTCTGGATTCAGCTGCTCCCAACACACCGCGTCGGTCTGCTGCCAGCTGGCTTGATGAGGGGAAACCATTGGAACAGCGGTGCCTTGCTTGCAATATCAGCCTTAAAGGGCTTCGATTCAGATCTAACCTGCTGGAGTCACGACCGTCAACGACTATGCCAACCCAAGCCGACGCCAGAAGGCTCGCACGCGCCTTGGTGGCAGAATCGTCTGGCGCGAAGGAACAGTCCAGTCCCCCAATACGGAAGCTGGCACTTGGTGACACTACGGCCACAACTGGCAAACTGCAGGTGGACCTCCATAGCCTGGACTAAGGTTTGCGTGGCGCATCAAGAGCCTATCTGCTGTAGGCAGGCACTCGTCTCTACCTCGTGGCGGATGTGTGCACCCTTGGGATCGCTTCAGTTGGGGATACTTGAGAAGCTTCAGGAACGTACACCGGTGCAGTGCGAGAGGTTCCCCTCCGCGCTTCACTGTGCCCGATCCGAGTACTTTCCACTTTCACCTCGGGTTAGTCCTTGTTTCTCTAGGAGTAGCAGTGTGTGCCATGGCCTTCCTCAAATGTCGAGCCGACCGATGCAGTGCCCTCCCCTCTTTTGCCTTGGACCTGTCCCAGCACATGTCGCGACTTCTATGCCCCAGGTACTGTGTCGCAAAACGCCAGAAGCACTGCGGCGCCGACGGCCGACACCAGGAGCATTGGGTTGGTTTGATAGGTTAGGGCCTCCTGTTGCCGCATGTTGGTGTTTTCAGTCTTCGTACTCAACAGCATGGTCTGCCGAGCTTTCACAGACGTCGGTCGAATGTTTGCCATGCCGCCGCAGCCAATGTCAGGCAGGCCAAGCAATTTCTGCAGACAGCCATTTCACCCCAGACAAGCACCCACATGCGGGATTTGCTGCTCTGCATCCTGTCCAACCCTGCTTCTACGGTATAGGCTCTTGTGCCCCGGCGGTTAGATTTGCTCCTGCCCCTAGGGTGCACCCCGTAAGGCTCATACGCAGTTCACTTGAGTGTGCGATGGCACGTCGCCGTAGTGACGGTACCAGACAGAGGCGTCCCAGGGATGGGGAGCGAGAGGCAGCTCGCCCGCACAGGGAGGCCCGCCAAGCACAGGCAAGGAGGAGCCGCGGACAGCCTCAACTTGAGGCGGCATCGGCATCGGCCCCCGATAGGTCTGGAGGCGTAGATGAATCTGTGGTTCCTGCTGGTTATGGTCGTTCAGGCCGACCGATGACAGTGTACACCATGCAATCTGGCACTTCAGATCGGGAAGCGGAGCGCTTGCTCCGTACCGAAATGCCTCCCGACGCTTTCATTGCATTGGCCTCGAGACTGGGCAGGGATTATGCTCAACGTGGAACGGCAAATCATACCAGCACTCCCTCGACTATGACGGGGGCATCTTCCTCAAGCACTGCAGTGCCGCGCAATACTGAGAGTGGATGTGGCCACAGTACAGGTTCCCGATCGGACGTGCACCGCTCTTGGCCGGCGGGCGCTACGCCTGACCGCCTCTTTGCGCTTACTAGTGTGCTACCCTCTGACAGCCCTACGGTTGCTGCGTCTCCTGTGGATCTGGTGAGCAATGTGGACGTCGCAGAGATGGCCACTCTCAGGCCCAAGCCTAAAAAGAGACCTCGCGTGCAGGAAGCGGTGATTGAAGCTGCGAGTGAAGTTTCAGAGGCTGAAGGCTCCGGTGTTAATGCAACGACTGCATGTGTGGCCTCCTTCGTAGATCTTACCGACGAGGTTGAGGATGCGACTGCGACAGCTGCCGCGCCATGCACGCCACCATTTGCAGAAGCCCAGATCATCATGCAAATAGCTGTGAAACAACAGGCGCAGGCGATGCGTCGATCCTCGGAGTTGGCCTCCGACGGCACGACGACGCCGCCAGAAGCCTTTGAGTTGTCTTACACTGAATGCGTGGTGCGAGACCGCTATGACCTGAATGACTTGGGCCCATACATGCAGAGCGCGGGCTTGGGGACACAGGGTTTTTTCAGGTCTCTTGGACTTGAGCGGAGACTTTTCAGGGAGTCGGGGGCTCTGACACGCTGTAGATCTTGCTGCCCTTCGGACCACTGGCCTAGTTCGGTTTCCTGGTTTCAACCCTACGATCCCTTCATGTCTAGGCCCGTTTCCCTTACCTCCCTGGCCAATTTGGATTCTTCGAGTACGAGCTTCCTACACCCCCGCTGCCCCTCCAGTCTTGCATTTGCGTCCAGCCCTAGACACTGCGTGGACTTTTCCTCACCATGCTGCTTCAGGAGATCGCATCTCTGTGCGCCGGGAGCATGGCAACTGCCTGGATTGCTGCTCAGGCTCTGTACTCTCGGTCTCACTTCAGGGCCTTCTCTTGATAACTACATTGTCTTCGGGAATGCGTCTAACGGTAAGCCCGCTGCAAAAGCCATTCCCCATTGCCGGGCCCAATCTTGGCATGTGCCCACTATGCTACGCAACAGCCGATTTCAATGCCATCCTTGGACTTTTCCCGGCAGGAAGCATCGGCGTGGCAAGTGTCGAAGCACAGGCTCTGCCAGTGCTCGTTTGGCAGGTAGTAGCGCCTCACACATTTTACGCAAAGACCAAAGGGCTATTCTGCACTGCCACTGGGCCCTTGGCCCTTGGGATCTCTGGCATGCCACTCGTGCAGGCCTTGGTCTTCGCGAAAGCCAGATTACTCTGACAAGGATCCTTTGGAGGCCACTCTGGAAGTGTTGGCATCACAATCCTTTGCACAAACCGGAATGCCTTTTATTGAATGTGGGTCTAGGTTGCTTCACTTGGAGGCTCATTGTACCTAGGATTGTACCAAGGATGCCACATCGTATATACACACACACACTGCAATCACAGGCCTCTTCACATGATGAAGGCCCCCCCGGTCCCAAGTCCGGGGAATGCTCCAGCCACAGGCCTAACAGGTGTGGGTTTCCTTTTAACCTCATCCTGATTCTCTCCCAAATACACCGGACAGCTGGAGCATTGGACGCGAGGGTTGTCGTACCTGCCCAGGGTGCGACTGAAGCGGCGCCTTACCGTGTGCAGCCGACTTCTAGTGCTGCCGCGAAGCAGCTACTGGGCAAGCAGGCGACACAAGAGTCGCATGCACAGAGCTTCACTAGGATTCAGAAGCGAACATATGCTCGTGCACAACGTCGTGCCATCACGCGAGGTGGAGCGTGGTACCGGGGACGATGGATCAAGCCGGACCCACGCCTCCTGTCCTCTTTGACTCAGCCCCACCATCGCACCACTGGGCCGAGGCCTAAGCCTGCCTCTCGAGAAGTCAGCCGACATTATGATTTGGTCACCTGGAACGTCGGAGGCCTTGGTAACGGGATGTTCGATGAACTGATGCTGTACATCAAGCGTTCCTCCCATGACATAATCCTAATCCAGGAGTCTAAGTGGAGACTGGAGAACATGTGGCAGGATGATCAGCATTACTTCATACATAGTGGTTCTGATGCTACGGATCACAAGCATGCTGGAGTTCTCACGGTCATCGCGCGCCGGATTGTAGACCCAGGCTCTCTTCGATACGTTGCAGCAATCCCGGGACGTTTACTTAGAGTGCAGTTTAAGCATGGACCGAGACAGGTGGATGTCATTAACCTGTATCAGCACACCTGGCGCAACACGAAACATATCATCAACATGCGCCACAAGCTCTGGGATGCGCTCACCAAGCAAGTCCATGAGGTTCCACTGCGTAGTAGACTGCTGATTGGGGGGGACTTTAACACCCCATGTGCTGCTGCTGGCAACCATGCCGGCTCTGCCGTCTTATCTAAACCTGATCATGGAGTTCTTGATGCCGAGGATTTCGGGTGCCTTCTTCAGGGCCTTGACTTGATTGTGCTTAACACCTACCAACAGCAAGTGCCATGCCATACCTATCAGTGGAATCACCAGCAATCACAGATAGACTTTTGGCTGGTTCGTAGACTTCACTCAGGTGGGTCTGCAAAACAGGCGCGTCCCTTGCACGACTTTGTTGTCGGCAGATGGCGAGGCGGACCGAGACACATGCCAGTACGTGCACAGGTCATGTATCACTGGCAACCCTG